TATTATTAGTTGCTGTGAAATGAAGGACGAATAAATACATAATATGGTGTTTTGATGAACGTCAATAAAGGGAAGTTGAGAAAGCATTAACCCATTTTCTTGAGCATAAGCCTAGCCTAATTTGTTTTGCTTCGAAGTTTTCGAATGAGGGAGCGATTTGGATGCGCCACTGCTTTGGGGACTTTAATGGGATCTTGGGATTTTTTAACTGATATTGAATTGTTCTATCATAAAGACAATTTAAAAATTAGCAAATAATGACTAATTGTCTAACATGATGTGATGAGAGCTGTTGATTTGTTAAAAATAAAAGACCCATTGGAAGAAGCATTTTACCTTTTTTTTCAATTTTTCTGATAAGGCTGCGCTTAAAGCTTAAGTTAACTTCTCTTGTCGTGTCTCATTGGGTAGATATGCTGCTTGAGGAAGAATATTGTGCCTAGATTCCAGGAATGTACTGTCTATATAGTCATACTTGGCAAAATGCTTTTATAAAAGTGCATAGGGGCAATGTGGAATATGCGCTATATAAATATAACATTATTATTATTTTATTATTTGTGTCTATGTTGACAGTAAGGAGTTCAATCAAATTAAAAAATAATAGACCTACAGTTACTTTACTCGGTGGTGACCAGCTCACACCACCTTGTTTTTCCATAAATAAAAGTTTAAAATGAACGCCTTTTTTATATACCGTAAATATGAAAGCGTGAGTTTTATAATGTTCTGAATACCTATTTTCTGCATTGTAATATAACCACAATGCCCTGACATCTCCCCACCCCCAACAAAAAGAACGAGTTAGTGGTCTCGAAAATCCAGACACTGTTTTTTTTTTTATACAAGTATGGCCTACAGTACTATGAAATTCACTGAAAGAGCCTTAAAATGTGTCGCTAAAGAAGTTGTTTTTCAGACTCATTTTTGGGAATTTTCATTTTCTTCATATATGCTTTCTATAAGTACAGACTCATATCGTCACTTTGATTTTTATTAACTGTTCTATAGTATATATA